AGCTGTATTATTTTTTATTCCTAAAAAACCTCTAATGAGGTTTAGGGATGGAGGAGAAAAAAAAACATAGATTCTTCACTATTCATTACTCAAAAAATATTATTAATATAATGTTAAGAACTTCAACCAGAAGTTCAGGGATGGAGATGCCCTAAAGTTGAAACGATCGGTCAAGATCTCCTTGGTTATGCATGTCTTCTCACTTTTATCATATTTTTACCATATAGAGGACTTAATTGCGTGAAATATTGAGACCATTAGTAACATTTTTGCGTCGTCAAGATAAGTAAACAACTAATATACAGTACAACCAATCGCTATAAAATAGGATGATCAGCTCAAAAGTTGGGATTAAACATATTAGCGGCTTGTGTTATCTGTCCTAACGGAATTGAGAGCCATGATCAACTGTTCTTCAACTGCGATTACTCTTTGCAAATTTGGTATAATCTAGCTTCCTCCTCTAGATGTCTTGGCTGCTGCCTCGTAGATTTTTTTTGGCCTCGACCTCCTCCTCACTCTTCGGCATCAGTCATCATCAAACTCATCTTTCAATTCGTCATCTATTTGATTTGGAAGGAGCGCAACTCTCGGATCTTCACAAGCACCTTCAATCTTGGTTAAAGGCAAGCATCGACCGTATAATTCATGACCGACTCCTCTAATATCTCCACCTGATTCAAGCTCTCCCTATCTCCCTGAGTTTTATTTTTGTTGTATTAATTTCTATAGCTAGTATATTTAGTCTGTATCCTCTCCATTTGGGTTCCTTCAGGTTCTCTAATTTGTATTAGGGGATTTGGAATAAGTTGCTATACTAACTCCTCCATTTACTAAAATCTATTATATAATGGAAGAGTTTTCTTATCCACATCAGTAAAACCAAAATCATAACATTAAAAGCATATTTAAAATATAAATCTAATACTCCCTCTGTTCAGAATTATTTGATGTTTAAGGTTTTTGCACACAGTTTAAGGATTCATTTAATTTTTATTTTTTCTATACTAAAAATATTATTTATAATTCATTTAAATATCATTCAGCCAATAATAAGACAATCTGCAGAATATAAAAGGTCAAAAACTATAAAAATTCATTAAATTTTGCATTGAAAAGTGAGAACATCAAATAATTTTGAACAAAAAAAACCTTTTAAAACATCAAATAATTCTGAACAGAGGGAGTACTGTCTATTTATATATTTGTTTAATTTATTTAATACAAATTAAAAAAATCAAAGAAATTTAGTGTAAATAAATAGAAGAAAAATACAATTCAATATGAATTAAAAAAAAAATACAATATGAACTGAATCAAAAATAAGAATTTTTTTTAAACATGATATATTGTTAGATTTATCCAAATCGAAATATTAGAATGTGTTTCTAAAATTAAAAATGTGTTTAACATGTCGACAAAAAAAGTGTTTAACATATCTTAAATTTTTTTTACATACATATAAAATAGACGGAAGTCGAATAGTTACATATAAATTTATTAGAACCATATCAGAAAAGCTTGATATTTTTGACATGGCTTATAATTTTGAAGTTTAATGATCTTATATTTTTTAAGAAAAATTGTATAAACTTTAAAGCTAAAAATAGTTAGAAAAAATAACACTGATAAAGATTGTTCAAACGATACCACCAAAAAACATAAATATAAAGAGTGATACAAATTATTTAGTACCATATTGATTTTACACGATACTAAAAAAAAAACACATGCTTAAAAGTTATTTTTTCTTATCATATTGTAATAATTTAATGGATTTAAAGAAACAAAATATTTAAAACATGCTAAAGTTATGGAAAGAAAAAGTTTTAAATTTAGCACACAATTAAAATGGTATATAGGTGGTACAACAAAAAAAATATAAAAAATTAAAAGAATACAAATATTAAATTATTTAATTAAATTTTTAGTGACGAATCAAACTATTAAACGAGTCTAAAATCGTTAAAAATATAAAATGGAATAAAAATTTAAAATTGATATAATCTTATCACAAAATTATTTTTAATGTTAAAAGGTTTTTTACTAAAAATTCACATTATAGTAATGGACAGTATATAATAGAAGAACGAATTTAAAATTTAACATAAGTTAATACTTAACTATGTAATTTATGAAAGAATTGAAATAGTTTAAATGAATATAAATTTAAAACTATAATTAGAATCACAGAATAATTGCAGAGAACTATAAAATCACAAAAAAATAAAAAATAATAACAAAAATTAATAACATGATTAAGAGAAATTTATTATTATATAATAACACTAATAAGGAGAGCTGACAAAACATAGGCATACTAACACAATGTAAATATACAAAAACTAATTATTCATATATAAATTATTTTCTAAAAAATAGCATAAATATATAAAAACACAAACATAAAATAAACCAGATCAAATTCTAGTAATATTTAATGTTGGGTATAATAAGCGTCTTTCCAGCTGTATTAGTCACGTTAAGCTGACTTTACACTAAAAAAAAATCAACAAATGAGACGTCGTCGTCCTTCCCTCGTTAAGAAGAGACTTGAACTAAGCACAAAAAAAATTAACAGAAATTAATAGCATAATTAAAAGAAATCCATTGTTTATAATTAACACTAATAAGGAGAGCTGACAAAGCACAGATATGTTAATACAATGCAAATTTTTTAAAAAAAATAACTATTAACAAAGAAATTGTTTTCTAAAAAATAACATATAAAACATTTTACACGAACATAGAATAAATCGGCGAGAAACTCGAGATCAAATTTCAGTAATATTTAATGTTGGAGACAATAATCATTTTTTTCCAGCTGTTATCCTATCTTTAATCATTTTTTATTCGTTAAGTTGACTATAGATTAAAAAAATCAACAAATGAGACGTCGTCTTCCCTCCCTCGTTAAGAAGAGAATTGAACTATCTCAATTCTATTACCATTTGTGAGATTTGCTTTCCTCCATCGTTAATGGCGCTAAACGTAATTAAGATTATCCGAGTCAGCCCCTCCACGGACTCGTCGCTTGACTCTCTCAACTCGCTCAATCTCACACTCACTTTCTTTGACTTACCATGGATAAACTTGCCCTTTATGCAACGAGTCATCTTCTATAAACTCCCCGAGTCGGCTTCATCAACCGAGTCCTTCCACTCTCATGATCCCGAAACTTGAACGTTCTCTCTCCCTCGTTCTCCACCACTACTCTCCTCTCGCTGGCCGCCTTACTTGGAACCCGCAAGATCCAAAGCCTTGCATCCTCGTCCATCCCGGCGACTCCGTCTCGCTTACCGTGGCAGAGACCGACCAAGATTTCTCTCGTGTTTCCGGACAAGAACTACGTCCTGCGACCGAGTTACGTTCCTTTGTTCCTGGTTTGGAAGCCACGGGTGATTCAGCTTCTGTGCTTTCCTTGCAGGTCACGTTTTTCCCGAACCAAGGGTTCTGCATCGGCATCACATCACACCATGCTGTTATCGACGGAAAAACATCTGCGATGTTTATAAAATCATGGGCTTACATATGTAGACTGCAAGAACATGAAGCTATGGATCTTCCTCTTCTACCGGAGGATCTAACTCCTCGGTTTGATCGTACGGTCATCGATGTTCTGACCAGGCTGGAGGCAAAGATCATGGAGCTTTCGTCGAGGAGCCTAAAGCCACGTCCAGGAAGTGAGATTGCCGCTGACATCGTCCGTGTCACGCTTGAGCTAACTCGAGAGAACGTCGAAAGACTCAAAGAGCGAGCCAAGAACGAGTCAACTCGGCCGCCGTTCGAGCTGCACTTGTCAACGTTCGTCATCGCTTTTGCTTATGCATGGACTTGCGTGGTGAAGGCGTGCCGCGTGAGGAGGCGTTGCAAACAGACCGGTCGGTTTGTTGGTCGCAGCGGACTTCAGGCACCGGTTAGGGCCTCTAGTTCCGGAAACTTACTTTGGAAACTGCTTGTTTCCAATAGCTTTGTTTGGATATGAAGCCAAGGAATTTTCCGAAGAAGATGGTTTTGCCAAAGCTGTCGAGATCCTTGGCGATTCAGTAAAAAGTTTGGGTTCGGGAGAGATAGAAACACACTGCGAACTATGTGGAGGGAGTGAAGAAAATGAAACCGGGTGAACAAATTGGGGCAGTCACAGGGTCACCCCGGTTAGGGATATATGGAGTAGATTTCGGGTGGGGCAGACCTGTTAAGACCGAGGTTGTGGCCATTGAACACACCAAGGGATTCTTTTCTTTGTTGGAGAGGAAGGATGAGCTAGATGGTGTGGAGATGGGATTGTGCTTGAAGGAGAGTGAGATGAACATCTTTCTTTCTTTATTTAAAAATGGCATCTAACTATAGATAGTCTACATTGTTGAGGTTGATCAGAGACGCCTTATTTGTGAATAAAAAATGTCACCAATGTGTTTATTTGATGGCTAATTTTTCTTGGCTGAATACTTTTTTTAGAAATGATATAAAAATAATTTTTTTAGAAATGTCACCAAGCACAATCCCATCTCCACAAATTTTGAGAAATTTCCAAAATACGCAATACACAAATTTTGAGAAATTTCCAAAAATAATCAACTTTTTAGATTTAGCAGGATTTGCTTCATCACTCGGCAAGCCTTTTAGTTTCTTTTAAAAATCTGTAATTAGGTATAGACTTTCGTTTTGCAAAAAAAAAACAAGGAAATGTAAGCCAAAAACTAGATTCTCTACTCTTGAGAAAACTAAAAAAACTAAAATCTTATTTGGATGATGATAGATAAGTTTTTTTGAAAAAAAAAAACCAAAAACTCACCTGGAAACTACTACCAATTATTCAAGGCCGTAGTGTTTTTTTTTAAGATATATAGTAATATATCGGAATTTGTTTAGGCTTTTATCAACACAAAAAGACTTATTAATATCCATCAATGGAACATGCTTATAATAAGATTTAGAGTAAATCAATATAAGAAAAGTATAACTACTATTAAAATATAAAATTAGGTGAACAACACCATTTTTATTTTATTCCGAGCATAAGCTCTTTAGTTGACTATTAGTATATATTAAGAAACACTCTTAAAGACTTGGACTCATTTCAGTTCTTAAACTTGGCCTCAAGGTCTTTGACGACATTGACATCTAACTGGAACGCCTGAGCCAGAACATCTGGATTAATCGGAGGCTTTGATCCAAACACAGTGTTTGCGATTGTGATGACACCGGCGTTCTGGCTACTCAGTCCTGCAAAGGCCACCGCAGGGGTTTTTCCGATATTCACCTGAAAATGGATCTGTCCGATGGGGAAGACAAAAACGTCACCCGGATGCAATACTTTGGTGAATAAACGGTTGTTGTCTTGGTTGGAAGAGACAAAACCGACGTATAATGTTCCCTCGATAAGGACAAGGATTTCAGTGGCACGAGGGTGCGTGTGAGGCGGGTTTTGTCCATATGGCGCATAGTCTATGCGAACCAAGGATATTCCCATGGTGTTCAGCCCTGGAATCTGATCGACATTGACCGTTGTCACATTGGATTTGACGTCATTATCAGTGTTTCCGGCCTTATTGAGACCTGAAAAGAAGAAATCTTCTGCCTTGGCTTGCTTCGGATCCTTACAGAACTTACCATTCACGAAAACTAGACATAGAAGGTATATATAACATTATTGGAATTGGATATAGTCATAATAATTAAAGAAAAGTACGTAGATAATTAAAGGAATTGGATAATTTTCATACCACCATTGTTGAGGTTATTAACGGCAACACAGAAGTCTTGGAGTGGACTTGGATCATAAGCATTGCCAAAGGGAATGACCAATGCCAAAGTGATAAAAACGAGAAGAGACTGCAAAAACTTCATTTTGAAACAGAAGGTTATGCTAATACGTTTTCAAGATTTGTTATGTGCGTGATGCTTATGATTGTGTGTTGTTTGTGAAGCAGTAGTGCTTACAATTTATAGGCAAGCTCGTATGTCATGTTTGACGTGGTCCAAGGTCATTCTATACATGCATTTGTATTTAGCATTTTTCAAAGTGGCAGTTGAAATGTTTAACAAGTCTATTGTTAACTTAGTCTCACTATTAATTAAATTGGATTTGCATGACTATATAGACAAAATGGGTGTCATTAGTACGGTTAGTATGGAAGGGACAAAATGAAAAAAGCAAACGCACACAAAATATCTCATAGATTCTTTAAAATATTTTTTATGGAAAAAAACATACTTCTTATGTACTCTTTGCAAAGATCTTTAGATATATAATAAACAGCTAGTTATTTGTGTGATAATAAATTTATAAGAAACATGGCAAATAAAGAATCAACTTAGCTATGATACCAACTAATATAGAGCGTACGTGAACAATACAAAAAAAAAAAAAAAAAAAATCGGAAGTCCGTTGATATCTCGAAATAGGCGGACGAAGAATTTTTTAATATTGTCAAAATAAATATGAGACATAACAAAGATAAAGATTAAAATAACATATATATTTATTTGATGTAGATCTATCGAAGTTTCCAAGTTTCTTTATTATTTTCTATTTGATAGGTTGTTTGCTAACCTTATTCAGGGCAGTTGAGTCATTCTTTTCTTGGTCCATCCATGTAAGTATGTAACAAGTATTGGTCAAAAAATAAAAGGTATGTAACAAGTATTAAAGATTTCATTAGGTATCCACTATCCATGAAGCTTTGATTAAATGCTATATTAGAAAAACATGTGACTAAAAATCAATGAAAAATAAAGATAGTAATAAAATATCATAATTAATTTTTTGATTAAAGAATAAAATATCAAAACTACGGGAAAAACAATTGTAAATCTCTTAGATTTGAACTACTGCAACAACGACATGAAAACAAACAATGATCAACATGAAGGTCTCACGAAATCAGCAATTTGAAGTTTTCTCTTGCAAGTTGGAATAATTAAACATTTATTCATACCAAAAAGTGGTAGTCTAGGGATGAAACAAAGAGGATAGTTCATTTATTCTCTGGGTTCAATCTTTTTTTGGATACTGTAGAAGACTATATGAGTCGAAAGTCCAGAATTTCTATGATTTCTGAATAAAAACAAATTATTGAGTGAACGTGCAAATATAGGCAAGAGAGATGACACAAAGCGACGGGGTCTGCAACTAAAAAAATTATAGTCCAAAACATTAAAATCCCAGCTAAATTAACTAATATAATGATAATGAAAGAAATCATATAATCCACAAGTCCATGTACATAGTAACTACCTACAAAGGTATGCCACAATATTCAATTTTAATGTAGGTGCAGTGGTGGATTTAGAATTTTTTCAATTAAAAATAGTATTATACTAAAGCCAAAGTAACACCTTACTTTTATTTGTTATATTAATAAAAAGGTCATCGCTATTGTTTACAATTTTTTTTCTTTTCCTCTTAGCCACCTCAGCTTTTTAATCTCTTTCTTTTTAGGCTTCAATTACCATAATTCATTTTTACTACAATAATACTGTTATACATATCTATAACTATTATTAAATTTAAATAAGAAACATGGATTTCTAAATGATAAACAAAAAAATAAGCAAAACAATATGAAAACATAAGCAAAATATATGCAAAACGAATTATGAAAAAGGTTAAAATAGAAATTATATGTTGAATTTTGAGACACTAAAATATAACTAAGACTACAACAATGAATACAATAATATAAAGCAAGTGAAAATAAGACAATTTTCAGAGAAAAAAATCATTTCCTATGGTAATATTTAACACTCCTACTCGCAGCATGCATTGATCAACGGCATAAACGCTGGAAAAACATATTCCTCCATGAACTCAACTTCATAAACTGTAAATATATTTATATGTGTAAACTGTAAGTATATTTATCTCTCTGGTTCTCCCAGCGAAGTAGCCCCCACAGCCTCCCGCAGCTCCTTCTTAGCTTCTCTATTCTCCTTGAAAAAATGATCCTCACGTAGCTGCATTCAAAGGTGATCCTCACGTTGAACACAAGGCCCTTCATGTCGCTGCCTTCAAAGGCGATGTTCTGGTCGTCCGAGCTTTGCTCCACCGCGGGGCTCCCCTTCTCTTGGCCAATCAAGATGGTGAAATACCTTTGAATTGGCGGATATTAGATCCACTGTTGTGATGGAACTACACAACTTCACACAGGCAGGCTCAAGTTTGGTCCAATCATGTCGGAGCTCAAAAGTCGCTTACCCCACGTATCTGATTATACGTACCTGGCGTTGTGATCATCTATATAATCCATATAGGATAATTTACCCTATGTGTCTGATTATGCGTCCCTGGCGTTGTGATCATCTATATAATCCATATAAGATAATTTACCCCCACGTGTCTGATTATGCGTACCTGGCGTTGTGATCATCTATATAATCCATATAGGATAATTAATCATAATAAGTGCGGTAAGAGAAACAAAAATCATACAATCTATAATCGTCCATATAGGGTAATTAATCATAATAAATTAATAATTTCTGTAAGAAAAACAAAACAACATATATATTATCCATATATGGTAATTATTCATAATAAGTGTTGTAAGAAAAAACAAATATCAGTTGATTAAGTTCCTTGCCATTTCGTGTGTTATGTATTGCAATATATGATAATATTTTAGCAAAAAAAGTAATGGGACGAATTCATAAAAATTCACCAACTAAATGACGATAAGCTATTTAAGACTCCAACTATTTATGTACCCAGAACAATACTTGAACAGTTTGCTTATTTTCTCCAGATTACAAAGAACCATAGAAATATTCTGATGCTAATTTAGCAATATTTTGTGTAAAGTTCTTGCGCAAATATCCCAAAAAAAACAAGCTAACACTTGGAAAAAAAAAATTAGTTACACATATAAGTTTCAATCGTTAACATAGAAATATACTTTATTAGTTTATAAAGTTATAGGTAAAAGGAGTTTCACATTCACTTGATGTTAGTCAAAATCTAATTAGACCTACTCAGCTATGTCGAAGAAATCATTTAATAATTGTTTTTGTCTTTTTTTAATCTTAATTAGAATTCTATAATCTCCAAGACTTTTCAAAAAATTGCAACTAAATAAAAAACCAAAATTTAACCAAATGTTGTATACTTACTAGATAATGTTTCGTGTACAGGTTTATCCATAAACTCAGCAAAAACAATTGGAAGTAATCGTTGCATTAGAACATGGCAGTCATGACTTTTTATTCCTGTTAATTTTCCGTTTGATAGATCCACACACTTGGATAGACTTGAAGCATATCCATCAGATAATTTAACATCTTTTTCGAGCCATTTTAAAAAAGATGTTTTCGCTTCAGCTTGAAGTCTGAAAATTGGAATTGGCGCTTTTCCATCAGTGGTCAAGTGTAGTAGCTCTTTGCGATTATAATATTCTTCCAAATCAAGTCGCGATCTGATGTTATCTTTTGTCTTTTGCTGCACATTTAGCAAAGTGTTGATAATATTATCAAAAAAAAAAATTTCGATGTGCATCACATCAAGATTGTGCCGGAGTCTATGAGATTTCCAATAAGGTAACCCCCAAAAAATACTCTGCTTATGCCAGTTGTGAGTGTCACCATATCCTCGTAATCGCCCATGGTTTCCTCCACAATCAACCGTTTTTGTCCAATCATTGACTTCACTTAAAACGTCATCGCCTGTCAGTATTTCAGGTGAACTATCGTTCATGACCCTCCCTCTTTTGAAATTCTTTCTGTTCCGTCGATAGCTATGATCAGGTGGTAGAAAACAACGATGACAGTCCAACCAACTCGTTTTTCTACCATTTTTTAACTGAAATGCATTAGTTTGATCCATACAATAAGGACATGCTAGCCAACCATGAGTTGTCCATCCAGAAAGCATACCATAAGCAGGAAAGTCACTTATTGTCCACATCAGTGCAGCTCGTAGAAGAAAATTCTGCTTGGTAGAAATATCGTATGCTTGAATACCGTTAACCCATAAATCTCTCAACTCTTCTATCAAAGGTTGAAGAAAAATATCCAGACTTTTCTTAGGATGATTTGGACCACGAACTAAAACTGTTAGAAACATGAACTCTTGTTTCATGCATATCTCAGGTGAAAGATTATAAGGAGTCAAGATTACAGACCATAATGAATAGTTATGTCCTGACATGCCAAATGGATTAAAACCATCTGTGCAGAATCCAAGGTGAACATTTCTTGGCTCAGCGGCAAAATCAGGAAATACCTCATGAAAATGTTCCCATGCTCTTCCATCTGATGGATGATCCATTTCTCCACCACTAGATAAGTGTTCTGCTTGCCATCTCATTTCCTTTGCGGTATTTTCTGACTGGTATAATATCTTTAATCTATCGGCTACCGGTAAATAAAAAATTTGGCGATATGCAATTTTTTTCTGCATAGGCTTTTGAATAGGACGAAATCTATCTTTTTATTACAAAATAGACAAGTCTCTTCTTTTGTAGTATTCCAGAATAACATACAATTATCTTGACAAACGTCAATTTTGTGATAAGGTAAACCCAAAGATCGCATAAGCTTCTTTATATCATAGTAAGACTTCAACGAGTTGTTACCTTCTGGCAAATATTCATATATCATTTGCGCAATCATATCCATACATTTTTGTGGCAGATTATAATCCGTCTTCAAACTCATGAGTCTAGCAGCTAAAGAGAGTTGTGAAAGACTTTGTTTACATCCCTCATAAAGTGGATGATTCGCAGCATCCAACATCTCAAAGAACTTTTTGCATCGACCTTAGGTTCTTCTTCAATGTTTTGAGTGAATCCTGATTCAGTATCAGCAAATGCATCTAAAACCATTTCCACATAAGGATTCATTGGATCTATCTGAGACCCAGAGCCAACAGCATCGTCATCAACATTCATCCTTTGTTCTCGGCATGATTATTCAAAATACTGT